TTAGGATTGCTTGCTGCATGGAGATGGGAGGGTTTCATGCTCCTGAATCCAGTTATTGCAGTCCTTTCCTTCCCTGGCAAGGAGCCTGAGGCAACTCAGTTGAGAGTGGGCCGGATGGTGGAACATCATACTGCCCCCAGAGCTGGCCGAGCTCCCTGACAAGACACTCAAAGAAGTGAAATAGGAGACAAAATCCTCTCCTTTTGCCTTTGGAATTGCTTAGCTCCAGTCCCTGAAGCCTGCAAGGGCACCAGGAGCACCAAACCCTTCAGAAAGCAAAGCAGAGGTGAGGGGACAAACTCCCCAAAAGGCAAATGTAATCCTGAAAATTAGAAGAAAGGTTCTGCTCCCAACCTACACATGCACACCGTAATGGAGCTGCAATCCTTAGCATAATGAAGAAAGGATGAAAGTAAAGGGAATCAGGTTAAGTCAGCTCCTTCCCTCACGTGGGAAAACTAAGGATGAGTGTAGTGTACTCTGCCTTAGCTACCTAAGGATTAAACTGTTACCCCTCCCACCCCTTAAATTTCTGTCAGAAGATGAATGCAATTGTAAATCATCCTTTCCTTAGTCTTTATTTCCACATGATACAGTTAGATAAGTAATATATTTTGCTATTTAAGTAGTCACCCACAGTATGTGAAGTCATTTAATAGGGAAATTAGAAAATACCATGAGCCAAAGTTGTCCCTACTGAAGTCAACGAGGTTACAGAGGTTATGAAATTGGTACCATATATCTACCATACACTATGGCAGGGGTCAGCAACCTTTCAGAAGTGGGGAAAGAGTCTTCATTTATTCACTCTAATTTAAGGTTTCGCATGCCGGTAATACATTTTAACAAGATCTCTTTCTATAATATATAACTAAACTATTGTTGTATGTAAAGTAAATAAGGTTTTTAAAATGTTTAAGAAGCTTCATTTAAAATTAAATTAAAATGCAGATCCCTGGACCAGTGGCCAAGACCCAGGCAGTGTGAGTGCCACTGAAAATCAGCTCGCGTGCTGCCTTCGGCACGCGTGCCATAGGTTGCCTACCCCTGCACTATGGATTATTTACAATGGTATACTTCTTTGTGCAATCATCATATTATAGTTAAGTGTATGCATTTCTTGCACCATTTACCTTGAAATATATAGTCCGCATTAAATCTAGGAACACATGCTATGGCAAAAGGCAAAAATGGAAGAAAATTGTGAAAGACAAACGGTGTCTGGGAAATTGGTATAAAATAAGATTTATTTGCGCATCATTTTTGACAACTGAAAACTGGTACAGCTGGGAGCTGTATGTATTTTCTCAAGTACATGTCAATTCCTTCACCCTTCCTCAGATCCACATTCCTATACAACATAGGACACTCACAGAAGCCAAAATGAACTTTGCGGTTTCTGTTTGCCTTTCTCTGCTGAATGAATTCCTCTTATGAGCATATTCTACAAAATCCAAAAGAAAAAAAACCCCACACTGCAGGAGGCTTTCATGTGAAGTGCTAACACATTAGAACAGCCCTACTCTATCTATACCAAAGACAGTTGCACGTTGGTGGTTTCACATTTTTGGGTGGTGACACAGAGCTAGATTCACAAAGGGACTCAGACCTTGCAAGACTGATCATCATCGTGCCTATATTTTAGATGCCTAGAAAATCATTGGGATTCACAGTGCCTGAGTTACACGCACAGATTTCCTATGCAGTGAAGGGAGGGACATAGGCACTTAAGAATACGATTCACAAAAGCCAGCACACTAAGCAGCTCCCTACCTAAACTAGCCAATGTGAGGGGAGTGTGGCCTAAGCCTTGAGCTCAGGGAGTTCAACACCTACATTCAGGCTGGAGGGAGACACCTGCAGCTGCTGGGATTATCAGCTGTGCGCACTCTCTTGTGGGGGAGAGGAGGAAGAGCTCTCTCATAACTTTTAGTCGAGTGGTTAGAATATTCATTTTAGATAGGGAAGGACCCCACCCCCCAATGCAGAGAAGTATCTGCCACTTCTTAGGTAAGTCTCCTATCACTGGGTTATAGGATATTCTGATCCAGGGCTGCCTCAATCGCTGCTGCTAAGCTGTTCCACTCTGGATAAATAATTACAGTCACTGGGCCAGAGAGTGCAAGCAGACATATACAAGCATGAGAATGACTTTACAGCCTGATGGTTAGAGCACTCACCCAGGGGAGCCAGTTCCCCTACTCCCATGACTATTTATCCAAAGCGGAACAGCTTCAACAGGAGGGAATGAGGGAGCCCTACACCAGAATATCCCATAGAGTGTATCGTTTCTTGCTTTATTAAATATATTGTAATTGCTTATTTCCTTTAAATAAATGATACTGTGTTTTCAAAGACTTGCTGTTTGCATGTCAATCCTTTGAGCAGAGGGTTGTAGCTGTGTCCTTCCAAGGGATTAGCAGGATTAGCCTGCTCCATGGAGTCCTCTGCGGACTGGAGGCAAACCCTGGTAATAACTCTAGGGCGGGCCACCACCTTATTACCCATTTGGATGGAATAAATTGCATAATTGTAGGCAAATCGTGATTAACATCCAAATTGTGGGTTAACCAGATGAAACAACCTATAACAACAAATGATGATGGAAAACAGGTCAAGTTGCTTTCACTAATGAATGTTATAAACAAGTACAAGAGAAGCAGAGAGACTAAATTAATTCAACCAAATAAAGGGCAGGTTGATATGATTAAAGGACTCAGTTGAAATCATGCTTGGTAAAAAGATAAGATGTGGAACTGGAAATTGACTAACCAAAATTGGTGTGTCAGATATTAAGACCTCACTGGTGGACAAAATGGCGGGATGGGCTATTCCTCCCATCACTCCTGTTTTGGGTCCATAAAGAAAGACTTCAGAGGCTGGGGTGAGGGTGAATATAGAAGAGCAGAGTCTCCTGGAACTGGCTACCACCCCCCACTGTCTCTTGAGTCCCCAGACCTTCTGCATCCTACTCCTGAGGAATGTCTTTACTAGATCGGGCCACAGAGAGGGATTCAGATAATATCACCACCACTACCAGCTCCAGCTGAATCCCAAACACCACATGGAATAAAACAGGAGCAGACTTTATCAGCTCCAGCTCATTAACTTCTTCTCTTTTACACAAAAAGACAGTTACCATCTTTGACACTATCTGACTGTCAAACAAGGGGGGGCTTTCCTTCCCAAACGTCTTTCATAGCAACATTTACAAGTTCACAGCAAGGCCAGCAATCCATTCAAGTGCTTCAGGAGATGCAGAGTACATCTTTCCTATAGCTCTTGGAAATGAAAAGACAAAGCAGTTGTTCACAATGTGTTTGATGGTTTAGAGGTCTCCACATTCACACTGTGGCAAATCCTCGATTCTCCATTTGTGCATGGGATGCGCACATCTTCCATGGAACATCCTAATACAGTTGATGGTCATCCATTGTCTTTGGTAGAACAAGAAACCAGGCAGTTCAACAGTGGGATCATCTATGAGGTGCTGGTTGTTTACATCACTCACTGCCCATTGCAGGCACCAGGTGTACTCTGAGTTGAAGCTGGATGAAAAAAAGGGGCTTCTTCAGCTCCAAGAATGGTTGGTGGCATTAAATCAAGTGTAAAGCAAGTGAACAAGGTTGTCATGAAGTGGCAGCTTTTGGTTAGTGAGAGCTTTCTTGTACTCATGCAACATAGCCAGCTGTCACTTCCTCGAATGTTGCAGCCTGTGTCAGTGGTGCCAGGTCATTGGCATAAATGATCTTGCAGCATGTAATACAAATTACTGGAGTGGACGATAGTGGTAAAGCTGACCCCCATCCTAGAGTCTGCAAGACCCCCTGAAAAGAAACGCTGCAGGGCAGGACAAAGCTGCTGAGACCCAGTGCTTGCACTGACTACACACATTGAGGATGGCTTCCAGCAGAAGCTTAAAATGCACACATCTTTTATCAACTTGTCATCGGCCTGAAACTCTTGCACAAGGACTCACTGCTGACGCTATCCAACCTAATTCAATGTGACCAGACATTTCTACTCATTAGGTCAATGCTTTTGGACAGACCGTTCCATGATCTCACAATTCAGCAAAAAAGTAGAGTCTGCACAATGGCTTCCCACAGAGATCAGTACTAGCACCATTCCTTTTTAAGGTCTAAAATGTTCTCCAGGGAAAGGGAACAAGAAAGATTAAAATGAAAGCCTTACTTAATACTTTATATTTCAAATGCTTTAATCGTTTTTCCTTAAGATAAAAAGAATGTTTAATGGTGTGTTTGTCATGGTACTCAGCAGGCTGAGGTCTCTGTATACCAAACCATAGACCTTGTTTAACATTGTTTAATGTTGGACAGTGATGGGCTTATGTTCACACCTTTCACCCATTAGATCTCCTGCCTCCCAGGTAAGTATCCTCACCACTGGGCTAAAAGTTTTGAGGGAAGCCCTCCTTCTCCGCCATCCCCTCCCACCTCTTTTGTGTGGAACTAGGTGAGCTCACCTGCAAGGCACGATCCAGTAAAACTACTGGATCAGGTGCTACATGCCAGTTTGGTAGAGGAATGCCTATCTTCCCCTGGTTTGCACATCACACTGGAGCTTGGGTGGGAGAAAGGTGTCTTGATGCCTACAGGAAAGCGGCAGTGTATATGCGCAGAGGCACAGACAGACACCTAGTGAGCTTTTTCTGCAGAAATGTAGGTGTCAAGTGAATTTAGGCACTTAGAGTTCGGTGGCAGGTGAGCAGAACTTTCTGACTACCTGTGGAACCTACATTTCAGAGTTAGCTACCTAAAGTGTCAGTTAGGCACCTAAATCCCTTTGTGACTCTAGCTCATAGTGTTTAAGTGCTTTGAGGTCATCACAATGAACAGTGCCTTGTACCATAAATAAAACCTACTAAAAAGTTCAGTTTTCTACAGCACACGTAGACAGTATAACAAACTACATCCATTCTTGTGACCTGAATTGCAAGTGTGTTCTTAGTTGAAGTGTGAAGAGCTGCTATTCAATAAAATAATATCTTAAAGTATTTTAAGTGATAGTACTGCATTACATAAAGAATTCAGGGAGGAGGAGACAGTGTGACTCCCTTTGATATTACACTCCCACCATCCTACAATGTTATTCACAGAGCAGTAACAGAGGAAAAGACAGAGCTCAATATCTATTTATATTTTATCTTAAATATATTTCCCTAATTTACCTCTTCTTTTTGTTCTGCTAATGTCCCAATGAGGCTTCAGAATGAATATATTCCTGCTGTGTTTTGTCAGACCACTCAACCAAGTATTTTTTTGAAAATCCAAGTAAATGAGCTCTCTCACCAGAACATATAGGATAAGGGGTAAAGTCCTATATAGATTAAAAATGGATTAGGTAATATGAATCCGTATAATAAGAAATGGTTAGTGTAGAAGAGCACCCCTGAAATCAGTAGTAGAATGCGTGTTTTTTAAATATTTAGAAGAGAAGGAATTCCTTGAGTATGTAAAAAGATGTTGATTCACTATAAGAAATGCAGAAGGATTTAGTCAATCCTGGGTAACAGACACAGCAAATTAAGTTTATGAGTTATAGGTACTGCATAGTTAAGAAAAGTAATTTTTTTTCACATATAAATGAAACATGAAAGAACCTTTCACATAAAAAAAAAATCTAGGGGTCAGTGTTGACAGCTCAAATACTGTACCTGATGACTATACTTAAGTAGTCAAATGTAAATTAATGTTTGGCTATATATAAAATAAAGATTTCATCCAAATCTAAAAATGACTTTATACACTAATGATATGACTATTGTATTTCATGGTAGTTGACACACCTAATAATGTATGCCATGAAAAATGAAAAGGTAAACAATGATGGTTAAAAGCATGGAGTTCGGATTTTTTTTTAACCATACTGGGGAAAAAAAGAAAATTTTTTTTAGAAAGGGTCAAATATTTAGTAAGGGCTTAATCCTATGCACACAGTAACTGTAGGATCTGGCCCTATAATGGGCAATGGGAAGATAAGAAAATTGCTTTTATCAGGTATTAGACACTACCAGCAGCAGGACTGGACTGGATGGAAACATTATTTCAACAGTATTTGTCATATTTTATCAAGATTTCCAGATTAAGGATATGCCAGCTCCACCCGTCTTCCTAATTACACCTCCAGTTGCTGTGAAAGCACCATATCATCAACCAGCAAATTAGCTCTCTTTGGATACACTAGTTTCTACTACACCACATGAAACGCACAGGGAATTAAACAGAAAAACAGTCTGTGCTACATTTGTCATCTGTCCAGCATCCTAATGTTTCTAAGCCTGAAACCCTAAAAACCAAATGGTTTTGAATCTATTAAAAAAAAAAAATCCACTTGTTTTCAAATACAGCTGAAAAAAGAAAAAAAAAAAAAAAGACTTCTTTACATAAATAAATCCATTAATGACTTCTCCGAGTATAATTTGGTCAACATTTTACAGTTCAGCTTTAACTTGTTAAAAAGTATTACCTCTTCTTAAGAATTAAAATAAGTGGTTCCATAAAGAAAATTAAAACAGAATTAACATTGATAGTCAAAAATAACTCCCATGATTATGTAAGTTCACATTTCAACATTCAGAAATAAGTTATAAAAATAGTTAAAAATTTCATGAAAAGCTCCTAACAAGTTTTATTTTAGGAATTCTTGCTCATATCTATGGATTGTCTAGCATCAGCAACAGCTTCAGGTACTCGAACAGTCATATTGTTCATAAATTTCTTCAAGCAGATCTGGCAGCCCAAACGAGATCTGTAACAAAGAACAACACTATCTTTAGTTCTACCCATATTCTTATGCCGATGGTGTTCTAACACTGCAGTCACAAAGCATGGGGTTTAAAATCTGATCTTTCAGAACCCATTCACGAGACTTAGTACCGTTTACCCCACCCCCACCCCTCAAAAAAGTGCATTTGTAAAAATGCTAACAGGCTGTAAATACTGTAGCATAAAGATGCAAAATAATACATCTAAAACACATTTAATTTAGTCCTTAATGTGAACTGGTAGACTGTTACCTTGGGGGGTGTGGGGGGGAAGAGGGAGAGAATACGTTTTTAAATGTATATTTAAGATTCTGATCCTGCAAGCTGCTCCACATGAGTAAACCATTATGTTCACTGAAATCAATGGGGTTCTGCCTGGGTGTATGCACATGATGGCTTTAAGGAGAGGGGTCTCAGTTTGCAAATCAGCAGCATGGGGTAGTTAAAACCTATGGAGCAGATTCTCAGCTAGCGTAAATTGTCATAGCTCCAATGAAGTCTTCAATGAGCTATGACAATTTACACCATCTGAGAATCTGCACCGCAGAACCTCTTCTGCCGTATGTAACTGGTTTTAAATCCTGTTCAGGTCACTAGTAATTTGAGATTTTCTCAAGTACACCTCTACCCCGATATAACG